AAAATAAAATTTTTTCCAAAAAAAACAGTTTGGGGTTTTTTTTTTTTTTTTTTTTTTTTTTACTTTGGTCAGTTTGGTTGTGTTTTTTAAACACTTGGGCTTGGGGTTTTTAGAAGCAGTAGAGACATAAATGGAAGTATAAAAATAAGCAAAATGTGAATTTTGAGTAAAAGGTCCCCTTTAACATCCATTTTTGCTTTAAGATTTCTAAATAAAACCAGAATTTAAAACACTGGTCGTAAATTAATGTGCACAAACATCAGTATGTCAAACACAAACTCACTTACTACTTCACAGGTGTACCAACCTGATATCCCACCAGACTGCCCAGGATGCACTTCCTCTGAGCAGCAACCCAGCGAGCGATACTGGTGGCTCCAATCTTGCGCGGCTGTGTGACCACAATGTTGCAGGAGGCGGTTTTCTCATTGTAGTGGTCCAAGATGAACTGTGGCAGCTGGGTGGTCTTGCCACTGCCGGTGGCTCCTCGAACGATCACAACCGAGTTGCTTTCTATGAAGGAAATTAGCTAGAAGCAGATGAGGACAGTTAAAGTGAACCTGTTGGAATAAACCATCATGTCACTGCAAATAAAGAAACAGACATTATAGTGCATTGGTGACTATACTGGGCCGACATTAAAAACCAATGTTTATTTTGATTTTCTTGACATTTGTGAGTGTTTCATAAGAGTGGGGACTGCCCATGTAGTATTTGTTATACAATATTAGAAATACATTACATAAATTACTTTTTATAACAAGAAAATAAACATTTTATGGCCTAAAATGCGACAACATAGAATTCCTTTAGAGTAAGTTTGATCACTTGTAGAAAATAATGCATCTGCAGCTAAAAAAACATTTCTGCTTGACAGAAGAGTGTAGGGCTGATTTGTTTATTCTTTTCTTAGACCAACAGTGCTTAATATGATTATTTTATTTATTTTATTTTTTTTACAGAATTTGAACCAGGTGAACCTAAAACTATTACACTTACGGAGTTTTGGATAGAACATTTACAGATAGTTTTTTTTTTTTAATCTTAAATGAAAAATATGAATATATATGTATATTTGTACAATTTTGACTTAATTGCTGCTCTGAATATGTTTTACTTTCATCATTTGATCTATTTTGTGACAAAATATGCTAGTTAGCGATTAATCAATTACTAAACTAGTTGACAGTAATTAAAATTATCGATTTATCACAATTAATCTGATAAATTATTTCAGCCGTATAAAAAAAATATAATATTGGTAAATATCGGTTATCAACCATAACAGAAATATTATCTAACATCGGCTAAAATCCTCATATCGATGAGTCCTTAATGGATGTTCTAAGCTGATTTAAGACAATATGAAATTATATTTTACCCACATTAGAAAGTGAAAAGAGTCAACGCTTGAATAACTCCATTGATATTCACGACACTAATAACACTCAATGTGGGCTCCTGCTGTACAGGCACATATAAAAGTAACTGCACTTCTTAGAAGCAAACATTAAGACTTAGTGGGCTTCTGTCCTGAGGACATAATGTCAATTTAAGTAAAACTCTGCAATGACCCAAAAATAAACTCCAGGAGGAAAATGCATTAGTGCCTTACCTGCTCCTTGTCTTTGGTTATGGGTAAGCTTGGGCATTCAAAACTGGAGCAGGGAGAAACAGGAGGAGGACCTAAACATTCAAAACAGTGAAGGGAGAGGTAAATTCACAACAATCTAGTACTGTATGTGGGTGGAATCTACTACTAAATCATGTAATCCATTACTCACTCCTCGAAGGTTCTGGGTTTTGGATCCGTCCAACATCAGCTTTCTGGCTGGAATCATCAGGTTTTACCGGACTGAGAAAAGCAACATAAGCAGTCACATTCCTGTTCTAAACTTCTGCCTTCATGTCCCAGCAATGTAGTGGAGTTCTGTTTGGTTGCTAGGTAACGGGCCGGGCTTGGCTGGGGTTGCTAGATAACGGCTCAGTGCCGTTCCACTGTGACTTAATCTGGAGGTTTTTGAAAAATTTCCATTTTCAGACACCAAAATACAATAAATTATTGCCCAAAAACGGCTGTTTTTTTAAAAGCATGTCATAATTACTTTTGTTTGTAATTTTAAGACTTTGTTCTGGTAAAATTGCATCACTAGTCTGCTAATATTATGACTATATTCTCGTAATTAAATAAATTTTAAAAGTATCGTAGTCTGGCCTTAAAGCAACTCTCAGGAGGGTTAAAAAAAATAAAGGCCACTTTTTGAAAATATTTTGTCATTTGTATTTTTTTTTTCAAGTAAGCACAAAAAATAGATTAAAATTTAAATTAAAAAATAACTTATAGATCCCAAAGGGAAATTAAAAGTTGTAACTCATCAATTCAGATTCTTCAAAGTGTTATTGTTGGCAGGAAAGTTTTCCCAAGACAGACTCATGAAGAAGATGGCCATACATGTCCATAATCTTGATTTTATTGCTATTATTATAATTAATGAATATAGTACAAAAAAAATCCGATTTATTTTTTAAGCCTTATTGCCCACAGGCCTGTCACGATAATTTTTCCTGGACGATAAATTACCCCAGAAGTTATTGCGATAAACGATAAAATTGTTATTTTGAGACCATTTAAAAGTGATATAATGGTAACGACATAACATTCTCAAAGATCAATAAACTTCCATTTCTAATGAACATTTCACAATGGGATATTTTAAATATCAAAACAATCAATTATGGAGTTTCTGTCAACAAAACTGTCCTTCAATTAAAGAGCTAAGTGGGACCACAGGCCCAGACTGGAGACTTTTAATATCCAGTTTTTGGTAGAAGATGATAAATAATGCAAATGCAAATTATTGAGCTCGTTTTAATTTATCATGCGATTAATTGCAACATACCTAATTTACCACACTAGCTACTTTACTCAAACTCTCTCCTCCTTTTGAATTTCGCTCTGGCACACTCAGCCAGGCCGTTTGCTCTGTGGCCTGAGGAGAAGCGCGCCTTGCAGTGTGAGCAAGCCGAGCATTTCAATGCAAAAACAGACAGCAATACGAGGGCTTGAACAAAATACACCCACGGCTTGTGAGCACACATGCACTCTCATCCTCTTTCTCTCCACTGCACACATATCGTGGAAGCTACAAAGCAGCTGACCTTACAACAAAGCTGCACACTGCACAGAGGAGAGTGAGGTGAAAGGATAGGAGAGGTGACAGCTCTTAGTCAGTTAGCAGCGGGCGACTAACTCTCCCCGACAAAGTCTGCATGACGGGAGCAGTGGGAGGACAAGACAATCACCGCAGAACAAAAGAAAAAGGAGAAAACAGTCCAGGACTGCAGCCAAAACTCAACATTTACCACCAAAAGAAGCAGGAGGAAGAGGCAACTTTGCTACAGTAGATTTATAGAAGCGCAACGCTGGAGGGAGCACCATGTGAGCAGCTCTTCTGTGCCAAGTCTCTCAAAAGCTTACAGCAGAGTCAGCAGTGCAGTTTTGTTTCACCAGTGAGTACAGATTTATTTTCTTTAAGATTTCAGTCTTATGTGCATGTGCAAACCCCTTCTGATGCCTAAAGGCTCTGTTGTGTATTATTCAAAACACCACTATGCAGTTTTGATGAGGCTGACCTTGGACCCCGCAGGCGGCAACAGAACGAGTCACACAGAGAAATCTGGGCCAAATCAGAGCGCCGTTTGACTTGAAGTGAAAACCGTCTTCGACCCAATCAGACCAGAGGTCACATTGCTCATCTGGGTCAATATTACAAAAAAATTATCAGCAGTACAGCTCAGTACTGGAGCTGAACTGAAATATAGCTACAGTATGGCTGGAATGGGTAGCCGTATTGTCAACTAATTTAGTAATTGTTGACAGACACAAAAAAGGCCAACTGCTGGAATAACATATTTAGGGCAGTAATTAGGACAAAACTGTACAAAAAATATAAATATTTTGAATTTAAGATGAATAAAAACCCTTCTTTGTCTGCAAATAAATTCCTCCTCAAGCGGTATAATTTAATTTCGCCTGGTTGAAATTCTGTTAAAAATAATCCTTACTAATGGGGGTGCTGTGGTGGCACAGGGGCAGGGCGCGGCCCATGTACTGAGGCCTTGGTCCTCATGCCGGTGGTCACGGGTTTGATTCCCGGCCTGGTTTGATCCCCTCTCTCGTGGCCCTCTTCCCTGTCAGGCTACTTCCAAATAAATGCCACTAGAGCCAACAAAACCTTTAAAAATAATAATAATCCTTACTAAGCACCTTTTTCTGCCTTATCAATCGGTTAATCCAAAAATTTATCAGCTGATTAGCCCCACATTGTATTAATGTTAAGTCAGGCAGAATGGGCTTTTCACAAGTTAATGTGAGAAGAACTTTTTTAGCCGCAGAAGAATCCTTTGCTACAAATGACCAAGTGTACACTAAATTAATTACATTTTAGGCAATATTTTTTTATTTAAAACAGGAATTGAATTATTTGTGTAATGTTGTATAAAATAAGTTTAAGTGGTTAAAATGAACAATCTGCAAAATGTGCAAGAATTTTTAAATCGATTAATCGTCAAACATAATCGACAGAATAATCGATCACTAAAGTAATTTAGCTGCAGCCCTGCATTTTTAAAAATTCAAATAAATTCAAAAATACTTGATCCCAAAGAAAAATAAAATAATGAAAATGAGAGCTTCATTTCAATAAAATAAAATAAAAGCATTTAGAATTTTTTTTTATGGAAAAGCACTTTATATGCAACAAAATTTAATTTGTTGCATATAAATGAAATTTTATATGCAACAAAATTCCACTGTTAATTATTACTTTATAATGAAGACAGATTAATACTCATTTCCTCAGTTTTCAGGGCCTGTTAGCATAAAGAGCCATGCCTCTGTTCGGCTGGATGAAATGGTCCAATCAAACGAGAGCACAGACTCGACCTCCAAGCCGAGTGGAGCCTGTGCTCGGCCATATGTTGCTCACAGAGCTGCTGTGGCACGTGGAGGAGCGAGAACGTCTGGCAAGACAACTGGAGCGGGAGAACCGGCTGGCCCACAGCGCCCTGGGTCTCCACTGGTTCCAGAAATACCCCAACCTACGAACCCTCGTCTCGTCGTCAGAGCTGCACCAGCTGCAGTTCCTCTGCTCACAGGTTCCACCCGTCGACACAGCCACCGTCGTCTCAAGGTTGTTTTCTTGTTTTAATGCCAACAATGTCCAGCTTCAACTATATCAATACAACTTAGAGCCAAGGTCACCCCTCAAATCGCATATTTACCCATAGCCACTTGAATTTCAGAAAGGTCTCCGTTTTTCAAGATGGCCACCATTTTTAAACAAAGTATTGCCATAAAATTACCCATTTTCAAGTCATGGACGAACTTTATGTCACATCGTATGTTTTTCATTTTATTCATCCCGTTCATACGACTTTACAGTAATAACACGTAGCAAAACTGGACACAAAAATGTGAGACGTTGCTGTTTGCAAGTCTCACGCTGGTCTGGTCGTCAACTGGAAGGAGATAAAAATGTGAGACACCAAAAGGCAGTTGTCTTAATGGCTAGCATTAGCTTTTGCTAATTTTGTTTTTGCCTTATTTAGCAGTTTAGCATAAATCTCTGCTATTTTTTTGTTTGTTTAGTGATTTAGCTAAACAAACTAATCTTCTGTAAATTTTTCTGTGTGTAGTGGGTAAGCATAAATTTCTGCTAATTGCTTTGCTGTATTTATCAGTTTAGGATAAACATCCATACTTTTTTTTGTACTTAGTGGTTTAGCGTAAACTTATGCTAATGTTTTTTTGAATATTTAGCGCTTTAGTACAAGCTTCTGCTAATTGTTTTGTGTGTTTAACAGTGCAGCATGAGCTTAGCTATTTTTTTCATGTGTATTTAGGAGTTTAGCACAAGCTGCAGCTAATTGTTTTGTGTTTTTAGCGTAAACCTTTTGTTTGTGTTGCAATTTAGCATTTGGTTCTACACATTTTTTGTTTGCTTAATGGTTTATGTTAGCATAGCCAAGTTTCTTGTTTTTATAAATTAGTGGTTTGTGTACCTAACTTTTTGGTTAGCTGTACCCATCATAACAACAATGGCGGCCATTTTGAAAAAATATCCACCAGAAAAAGGAAACAAGATCATGAAAATATGTAAGGCTCTGATTTGACACCACACTCAATCAAATGCCAATAGTGCACAAATTATTTTTCCATGGCATATCTAATCAGTAAATATTATTTCTATGACAATTTAGGATTTTACTCAAAAAGTGTGTGATAAATATTTGCTAATTTAATAGAAAAATAAATTTTTCCTGACCAACTTGAATTTTTCAGTAACATTTTTCATGAATGTAAGCACTTAGAACATATGTGCCAAGTTATGTTCTTGTATCCACATGTAAAAGATTTCACTGAAATACTCAATTATCTGCTGCACTGAAAGGTTAATAAGTGTTTAATGTGTGATCATGAAAGGTCTGAAAGGCTTCGTATGGCGTGACTAGAAGGGTTTCCCCTCAGTTTTTAGCTAGAAAGGGAAAAAAAAGGATGAAGAGCATATGACTGAGCAGCGCTGTGACCCACTTATCACACAAAACAACTCACAGCCGGGTCATTAATGTGCGCTTATATAACCAAAACATAAAAAAGAGAGAAATAGCACGACTGAGATGTTTCTGTGGCCTTTTCTGAATATGTCCCATCTTAAAAATGCCAGGATGATGGCTGGGAGATACAACTTAAAAATAAAATCTACCAGATCCAATTTTGCAGTAATGCTATAATTATTTTCTTGCTTTCCTTACTAAAAAAGGAAATTGCAAATGACAAAAAATATTTTCAAAAAGTGGTTTTGACTTCCATCATCCCTTCTGTGAGTTGTACAGCAAAGTTTAGGACCAGGCCACAAAATTTTTGTTTAAATACAAGAATATTGCCATAATAAAGATGGTTTTACTAGAAGAACGTCATAAAATTACAAAAAATTGTTCTGAAAAGCTTGAACAGAATTATCTCGATCTGACACGAGTCTGTGTGGTTCTTTCTTCAAAATAGACGATCATTTGCTCAATTGTTTCAAAGTCCTGTTACTTATAATAATTAGATGCCGATATGTTAAAAGATGAAGTGTTTCCATATTTGTAAAAATTACACCAAAGTATAACTTCATAAGATTCTCTATATTCCAAATTTTTTTGTTATTTTATGTGGAGTTCTCTTAGGACTACTACTTCATTCTCCTAATACAATATTACCAGAATAAATCAGTTTATTTTCATATTATTTTGATTTTATTCTGATTAGACTTTATATTTGTAATATTATGACTTTATTCTCACAATATAAAACAAATATTAAATCGTAGCCCGGTCCTATACTGCACTGTAGAATAGAAGCTGCAAAAAACTTCTCAAACAAGATGGCGGCCCTGTGTGTGCAGACATCACTTCAGAATATGGAAACCCAAAGAGTGCATTGGTACAAAATAAATCCAGATTTTCCAAAAATTAAATTTTCAATATCAAAACTGATTCATAAAAAAAGAAGATAAAAACCATAAAAACTAGAGGTATGAACTACATCCTGATTGAAGTAAATGGTAAAATAAAATGTCATTGTTACTAAATTTTAACAGGTTTCGTGAAGTGATCGTCACCAACGACGTACGACACTGGGAGCTGGCAACCATCTTCAAGCACATCCTGATCGACTTCCTCAGCCAAAGACAATCAATTGAAGAAGAAGGCTTATCAATGGAGGTCTGGAGCAGCCAGTACAAGAAGCAGGGCTCGGTCACTCCCATAATGCCCCAGGGTGGAAGTCATGAAAGGGAAGAGATCCCAACGGTCTCTGGGTATGTGGATCGGGCCATGCGCCACTCAAGTTCGTTCACACCCAGCAGGGCCTGGGATCTTCCGTACTACTACCCCGTGCCTCTGAGACCCAAAGGAGAGAGTACAACACTGTGAGAAGATACACCCTAGTGTGGAGAAATGGGAAAATGTCCTGCAATAAGCCAAGGATCAATTCTGTGAAAGATATTTCTCCCCCAACAACTGGTTTACGTACTAATGAAAACCCCTCGTTTGAGTTTGTATTGTACCAGAGGGCTGTAGCAATCCTGTAGTAACGAAGAATAGGTTTGTAAATATGAAGAAGATGCTTTCATTATTAACATTTGAGATTTTTTTTTCTCTATGTAGAGTTTTCATGATGTAAGAAATACAAAAAAAAAGTCACACAATTTTCCTCAACATTTTTTAAAATCTACGCAATAAAGTAGGACTGGACAATAAACCAATAACGTATATCAAGATAGACAAGTGATCAATATCAATAGATAATGCATCTGATCAAATATTCAATACGTAGAATATTCACTGAATGCCGATCAAGAACTGCACAGCATTCTGGGAGATCTAGGCAGAGGACAGCCTTTAGCCTCTCAACCTCTCACAGCTAGCTAAGCAAGGTTGGTGTAGTCAACTAACTCACTCCCTCTTTTTTTACCTAGCAACTCTCATTCTTTGGTTACCTAGCAACAACCTATTGAGTAACTTGCAAAGCAGCAGTTTCAGGTTTCACCACCGTGCCTCAAAACTGCTTACAAGTGTGGAGTGAAAACTGTGCATGGAAGAGGAAAGGTCTGATAGTATTTCACATATCACAAAAAAACCCATCAATAATTATCAACAATTATTGATGTGAAAGTCTAATATCATGATAGGTTTTTCCAGCCATACAGTCCAGCCCTGCAATAAACCATTAAAAAAAACATCTAGTTTAGGCTGCCATGTCAGTGCAGCTGCTTTGTTATACCATTTTAAATTCAAATACTCTTGTGATAAATTAAAATGAGCTGGATAATTTCCATTCTGATTGATATTTTTTGAATAGTAATTTTGTTTAGAGACATCAGAATCCATTTTATTAATGGATTGATAAAATGAATAAAATTACTTTAATTTTATTTATTGTTTTGTGTTGTAAAGTTTTTTTTGGCTTTTTAAAATGTCTTCCAGTTGCAGTGTGGAGAGTTCTTTACAAAATTAATGTTTATAAGGGCAAACTTGCACCTTTATTATGTTACTATTATATTAGCTGAAAATGGTCTCAAAACAATATTATCATTAATCGCAACAATTTCTTGGACAGTTTATCATCCAGCAAATTTTGTTATGTCAAGTCTATTTATAAACAAAATTATTAAAAACTTGCAAAAAGCTAGATTTTCTTTGACACTATTGAAGTCTAAGACTATATGTTTATTTATGTTGATTCAAGACAGAAACAGCAAGGATAAAAATGCTATTTTCTTTTATTTTTTTATGACAAAACTCTGCTTTGGACCTTTGGTTTATTTCAAATTAAATTTAGAACTTCCTTGTGAAAACACATGCCACATAGAAATGTCAAGTTATGTTGTACTATAAGGAAATACGGCTATGTGACAACAATAATTAGAAATATTTTAATGGTTTTACAAATCAAGTTAAATATCTTTTAACTTTTTTTTTTTACAAACATTGCTAATCCACGTGTGTTAGTTTAAACGTGAAACCATACATTTTGTTACAAGCTGTAAATTTATAGGAGAAAAAAATATATAACTTATAGTTCGATATTGAACCATTTTCTAACTCAACTCGAAGCACAGTAGTAGTTTCTGGAACCGCCGAACCAGACCACGTGACGCTAGCTAACTAATGCTAACACCAATTAAGCGTAAAATGTTCATTGAGACCAGGTAATTTTCCTTACCTGGGCTCTGCCGGAGTAGAACTTTCGGTGTTATCTTTTAGGTTCAAGGTGGCGAGTGTGGTCCCTGATGTGAACCACTTCGAAATCTGTTCCCCTGTAAAGGCTGGCTTCATGATGGAAGTGACCGTCACACTCAGAGCCAGAAAGAAGAGAAGG